TTATTTTCTGTACAGCACTTTGTTCCTGTGCTGGGTATTTTAAAGTGATTTATAAATAAAATTGGATTGGATTGGAATGATCATAATGATGAATGATGGTTATCAATGCCTGGCTGCTGCCTGTGTCTTCAGTGTATTTGCTGTGGAGGTAATGAGTGTTATTTACTTTTCACAGATCTTCACTCATATATCAGGTTTTATTAATCTTACCTGGCTCCACTGACATCTACTCCCACCATTAGCTGCCCATTCAGTGACAGCAGTTCATCTCTCAGTTTGATCCCACCACAACGAGCTGCTGGGCTCCTCTTCCTCACCTCCGTCACCCAGATGCAGCCCACATCCATGATGGGGCTCTGATCCCTCCTGCTCCTCGGGCCTCCCTTCTTTCTTCCCTTTGGGTCTCCAAAAATAGGGATGTTTCCAAAGCTAAGGCCGAAGTCCGCAGCATCCCCCTCATCCTTACTGAGGGAAACCGTATGAAGCTCAACATCTAACGCCTCACTGTATGAGGCCCGGCTGGCTGATGGAGCTGTGTCCCCCTCCATGAAGTTGAAATGAATGTACTCCACCAACTTCTGAATAGCAGCCAGACAGAGGGACGTGTCCTCCACATGTCCTCCGCCACTAACAGTGCTGCACACACTCTCCCCATCCCCGTTCTGGTAGGAGTCAGGATCCAGCCGCTGCAGAGAGAAGAAGAGTCACCAATCAGGAAACAGACGTTAGTTTTCAACAAATACACATTAATTCTGTTCCTCACAGGCCACTTTTAATTTTTCTTTCTTTCTTTTTTAATCTTGTCCTGTCAGCAGCTTCAGAACTGTGATGTGAATGCACGGAGCACGCTTTGCTCCTGCAAGAACAGCTATACAGTATCTCGATCAGGGGTGTCAAACTCGCGGCCCGCGGGCCACTTGCGGCCCGTACACTGATGTGGAGAAACATAATGCAGTTTGTCTTTGAAGTGACTGTTTGTTAGGGAGGAAAATCAAAAGCACAACATGACTGACTATGAAGACGACACGAGCAGAGAGCACAAACCTGCTGAGGCTGTCGGTGACAGTCGCACACTGTGTGCACTTATTTATTCTGTTCTATACAAACACAACGTGCGCGCACACAGAGGACCAGTGTGTTTGGAAGGCTTCAGCTAAGTTTGCAGTTTTGTCTGATACAAGATCTGAAATTTAAAAAACAAACGAAACATTTTAGGAAATATTTGTTTGTTTGTTTTGTTCTAGCTGAACACTAACGTGTGAGACGACAGCGCCAGCAGCGGCTCTCCGCTCGTTTCAGTTTGACCCCCTGATCTACTGGCTCCTCTTGTTTATGGGAATCCTTTATCTGTTTGTTTATTCATTTCTGTTGGTCTTATTTCAAATATTACATTGAATGTGCTAGTATGTGCTAGCATGTGCTATCACCAACAGCTTCACTGTAACAGACAAAAACAAACAGCAGCTGGGAGAGACACACGACTCAACAGTCCTCTGATGGTGTGCACTGAAGTGGAGGGCATGCTCACGTAGGAGCACGTCATGAAGTCTCACTCCACCTTTTGGTAGAAAAAGACGTTGGTTTTGTTTTTTTTACACCAAATGAAAGCAGATGTTGCTTCTAGAAGCAACCGTACGGAGCCGTGCGTCCTCCTGGGATCAAACCAGGGATCTTTCACTTGGTAGGTGAAACTACAAAACCATCAAACTTTGTTCAGTAAAAATGGAAAAAACGACACTTGTGCAGCCAGAACAAAGCGCACAATGTTGAGTTGTCTGGGCATTAATGAGGTTGTGGTGGGAAATGTGTCATCGTTAGTCTTGTTTGTTTGTAATGTGGACACACTGTTGTTTTTCTGTCAGTGCGACTGTTGCTGTGATTCGGTGCTGTATAAATCAAACTGAATTCATCTGAATGACATTTTAATAATTAAATGAATTGTGCATGTTTTACTCCCCGTGAGTGTTTGTCTCCGAGCTCTCCGATTGCTCTGCCCAGCCCAGGGTCACCACAGAGCAGTGAACGACTTTTCTGTGTATCGTTGTCTTTCCCTCATCTGCTGTCAGGCCATGTCTTTAACAGGTTTGCATCCTGCCTGTCTGACTTCTTGGTGTGATGCATGTCCTCCCACTCAGAGGTTGGGATTTAAGGTGGAATCAGGTAACATCAATGAGAGCATACAGCATTATCTGATGTGGAGAGACTGGTCAGTACCGTGTAACCAGAGGAGCTGTCCTGACTTAGATCATCATCCTGCTGTGACCTCGTGCTGTGAGCCCCACGCCAATCCTCCAGCAGTGACAGAATGCTTATGGCGTTGTCCTGAGTGATAGGCATCCTGGCATCTCCCCTTGTCCTTCACCAGGCGCCACTCTGATGCTTCCAATGATCAGTGTAGGAGCAGGAACCAGTCTGGGACGGCTGCCCCGAACCCATCTCTGAGAGAGAGCAGTGCAGAGACAGTGTGGCGGAGATGTGAACCAGGGTGGATGTCATCACTGACAGGACACGTCTGGTGTGGGTCTGCAGCACGAGACAGAAACAGTGTGATACAGACTTTAATACACACACAGATAATGTTTGTTTTTCCTGAGTCATCGAGCTCGTCAGTCATTCCTGCCGCACACGTCTGTGCTCTCTGATGCTTCACATAGTAACAGTGCAGCAAGCAGAGCCTGGAGGGTAAAGAGTTTTACGATGTACAGCACCAACCAATCAAAAAGCACTGTGCACGATCATTTCCAAAGTACATATAAAATAAATAGCTCAACGTAATGCTAGCCTACTGCTGTTCAGGCTTCAGTGCAGCTATGCCATGTTGGTGGCTGTTATAGAACCGTTTATATTGAGCAGCTAAACAGGAAGAGGTCTGCTCCACGTCATCACAACTGAAGCGTAACAAAACAAAAGAGCCGCGCTGCGTACAGAGGCAGAGGAACAGTTACTAGGACTAATAGCACTACACGCTGAAAACAACCTGGTCTTTGTGACTGCGACACAGGAACCTGCTGACTTCATCGTCTCACAGAAAGAGTTTGTAGAATAAAGAGCAGCGATACGACAGGCTGTGTGTATTTATAGTTCGGATTGAAACTGTGCAGAGAATTCAGATTTTCACCGTGTTATGTGGGACATTCAAATCTTATGACTGAAGACTGAGTCTTGATGCTGTTAGCGAAGCAGTCAGATGCAGGATATGCACGAGATCAACAGCAATGAAATGATTGTGATATTTCACACACAGTGACCTGGGTGATCAAACTGACCTCAGCTCAGCCAGCAGGATCTTCAGGGGCCCGTTCACAACAAGCTGCTCCCGAGGACTCTGGGCTGACACTGCATGTGCACACTTAGAGCTAAGCGTAGCCACATTTGTGGCAGATATAGACAAAAACGCAGGCTACCATGAGACCACGCTGTAATGACTATGTAGAGCCTGGGCTTCAAATAAACTGCTGGGCTTTGTGGCACCATCTGCGTCTGCTATTCCTGTACACACAAACAGTGCCTGCCCTGTCCTGGCCTGAGCTGAACCGTGGGCTGGAACAACTACTTTAAACGTCCCGGGGTGAGGGTACAGTACAGGGTGTATGCTCTGAGGAGACAAACTGCAGTTACAGTCTTGGACTCCTCACTGACTGACAGAAAGCCAAAAACCATACAGGATGGGTTTCATTTGCTTTTGCACTTCAACAAACAGATGACATTTTCACTTGTTCAATAAAGGACAAAGATAAGTGATGGAGTTTAAGACTCAGTTAACAAATGACAAACAAATGCATTAGTTCCTTTGTCAGATCATCACAGACTTACCAGCTCTGCTTCCAGCAAGTGCAGAAACGTAGCAGCTCCTGGGCATTCACAGGATCCTTCAGTGCATCCAGCGTATGTGAGCACAGGAAGCCTGAAAACAAACGCAGCTGTATCTATTTGTGCTGACATCACATCTGCATTTGTCTACAATAAGCCCGTGTGATAGGCTAAGAAGGGTTTGTAATCTCCAGACTGAAGTTTGAGAGGAGAACAGGATCATCTGCTGACACACTTCAGCTCAATAACAACAGCATTAACATGACATTTCCAGTAATGACCTAAATCCTCCTAAATGGAGCACTCCCCCCCCCATAATCTCTGGCTCAGTGCTCCACACACGTAGCAGGACGATGCTGCCCATCTACAGGACTGCTGGCTCAGCACCCACAGTCAAACTGGTGAAGCTGACTCCACATCAGGCCTGTTGCACACATGTCAGTGATCATTAGACATGATAAAGGAAGCAGCTGGTGATGATGACCTCATAGAAGGAGCCTCAGCTCTACATGAAGCACACTCAGAGCTGTGGGAACATTCAGCTCACAGAAACATCTCTGTGGGTGTGGAGGTGTGTGCTGATGACAGCGCTTACTCGTTGTGTACTTGGGAAAGTCACACGTTGTTCTCACTGCACTGTATGTTTCATTAATCCTTAGAGACATCGGTCAGCCATCTTGGTAATGCCAATGGGCATCTATATATCAGCTTAGCAGGCCCATCCCATCTAATGAATGAGAAAGAGCCATGACAGTAATGTCACTGGTACATAAATGATAAGAGCTGCTTATAAAGTTAAAACTATGTCTCTCCCAGACGCTTCAGTTCTACTCTCCATCAGCTGGGAGCTCTACCAGTGTGAGTGTCACACAGCTGAAGACTCTTTGGTACCTGGTCTGGTTCTTATATAACACTTTTCTACTCTCTCACAGCACTTTGTACAGCTAGCACACACTCTCACACTATGATGGCTGCATCAGGAGCAGCTTGGGCTTCAGGGATCAAACCACCAGCCTTCCTGCTTGCAGATGACCTCCTCTGCCTCCCGAGCCACCCCGCTGGGTTACACAAAGCTGCACTTCTGTCGTTGCAGTATTTTCCTACAGATTTCTGTTCAGTTTATTCCTCTTTCATTTCTTAGCTAACCTACAACAAATATCTACTGTGGAATATTTTTAATTTCTAGAGGTTTGTGCATCGTCACAGTTCTATGACTGTGGGTGCTGTGATACGACCACAGTCTCATATCCTGATATATGATATTTCTCCTCCCGATAACCACATAGATCACAAAATAGTGCATCTTCTGTCAGTTCTGTGAATCTCAGCAGCTCGACCTGTGTGAATGTTTCAGCTGGGAGTCAATGCATGACACTGTAACGGCCGCCATTTTCTTTGTATTTCTTACACGGCGTGCTGCGGGGAAAAGCCTGTTCTAATGTTTGAGGTTTATTTGGAGCACCTGGTGGCTCGTTTTGCCTCTCGTCTGTAAACTCTCTCCACGCTCTGTCACGTGACTCTTGCGTAGGTGGTAGAGGTTTGTCATGTTTGAGTGGGGGTGGGGCCACTTTGTGCAGGTTCAGGTCTGTGTCAGACGTTTCATAACCAAACCATGTCCATGCTACAGAGGCAGCCCCTCGTTTAGGAGTAAGGTCCTGGATGTGTTTGGACCGGTCCTTCTGTTTGGAGCTAACTGGTTCTGCCTCGTCTTCACTGGTCATGCTGGGATCCTCTGTGCCTGCATCCACGTGTCGACCATCCAAACCATGAAAACATTGCTGTAAGCAGTTTATTTTGTGACACCACGAAAAAGTATAATTTGATCGTCATCTCACACGGCCCCAGGCAGAAACACTCCATACCTCACAATAGATACAGCATGAGGATATTCAGAGTAAGCTAGAAGCAGCTTGAAGTGACTGTTGTTGTGAACTGGTGCCATAGAAAGAAAACTGAACTGAAACCAAGTCTGGGATCATTCTTTGAATTTGACAGTTCTTTTCTAAGCTACAGGCGGTTACACTAAGACTTGGATGGATCAATAAGCTACTTTCTAATTAAACTGCTGAGAACATTTACAGAACAGCTGATATTATTCTTCATTTGAGTCTCCAGTGAGATACCCACAGTGGGGTTCAGAGGAGAAGTCTGAAATGTGCTCATTAATGGAGTCGAGCTGAGCTCAGTATTATTCAGACTGTTGGTTGAAGCATTCTTTCTGTCCATCTATAGTTTGGCAACAGGGATTAGTTGGTTCTGTGTTCCAGGCTGACCTACATGCTTCACCCACCCCCACAGCCCACTCTTCGTCCAGGCACCATATGGCCAAAGATTAGAAACAGCCTCATTTCAGTGGATCTAAAGTGCCACATTGTTACAGACTACAGGACAAACCCACAGTATCACTGTAATCTGGAGCACACGCAGCTATGACACTATGGCAGGTCTCTGACTGTCTTCCAGGATACCCATAATTCAGTGCTGCTCTGTGTGGTCTGCCAGTTCAGTTTCTTCATCGGGCACTTCACTCATATATTAAATAGTCTGTGCACACATGGACCTGAAGTTTGAATTAGATGAAAAACATAGTTTTTCTTCTGGATTTAACTTCTCTGTTGTTCTCCACTACTGTTATATTGTTGGAAGTGCCATATTAAAATAAACAGAGGCCAGAGGTCGCAGCGGCAGCAGTCCACACATCCTAGGCCACCTCCTGCACCTGGGAACCAAGGCGTTCCCAAACCAGCGGCGAGACATCATCTCCCATGCTCAGAACACCTCAGCTCAGAGGCACCAGGAGATGAACCACCTTAACTGGCTTCTTTAATGAGGAGCAGCTCTACTCTGAGCTCCTCCTGAAGTTCTTCAACCTACCTCTAAGGGAGACCCAGCAACAACAGCAGTCACCTCAAGGTGATTTATACTGTAAGGTAGACCCTACAAAAACCCCAACAACCATATGGCCTCCTATGAGCAAGCCACCCACTACCCAGTGGCCATACGTGATGGTAGGAACACAGCAAGTAAATTTACAGGTTCCTTCTTCACGTTCTTCAGTAGGCTGGTAGAACATCTGCATCACTGCAGGTGCTAACAAGACCCCAAGATACTTAAACTCCACTGAAGGCAGCGGCTTGTCCATGCACAGAATGGCCACAGCATAGATGAGGCCTCTGCTCCCCCCAAACCCAAGCAGCCACAGGAAACAATCACTGCATGTCGCTTATTCACAGACTAGTGAGGAGGAAGCAACACAACACAAGTGTCAACACTTCAGGGTGAGCCGAGGCCAAAATAATCAACACAACAAAGCTGACCTCTGACGCCCACACACGGAGAAAAGAACCACGACACAGTCCCAGCTGCTTGTCCTATTCAACGGCAGGAGAAAACTATTCATTGCGAGTGACGGCTGCTCACCCCTACCCACTCCACTTCCTCCACTGTGACACAGCACCTCAGCCGGCTTTATGGGAAGCGTGTGAACCTCTCAGCGCTCCAGGCAGGCTGGTCCTTCAGCCAATAGTCGATATATTCGTCCAATCACCCAACCTTAGTGTAGCTTCCCCTGGGTATAACTAGTGTTATGGGGTCTGGTCATTAAAGTCGACTGTGTAAGACAGTCTATCAGCCTCTTCATGTAAACACTTCCTGGGTCTCGTTTCAGGAGCTTGTAAGTATTTTTCTCACTGCGCAGTGACAAAATGTTCTCATGACAGTCTTTCTGGTTTAAACTGTGCATCTACCCTTGTCTGCTGGAAGGATGATGATGTTGTTGTCATTATTAATTGATGTGAGTGCCTTCCTCTCCTCCATGCTGATGTTGGATGCTGGGGGCTTTGCATTGCTGAGACAGGCCCACGTTTGTCTCTGCGTCACAGCAACGTTCAGCCCTTTGGCGAGGATGTTTTTCTCTGCTTGGCTGAGCTGTCTGCCAGATGCATTTTTCACCCACTTGTCCACATCCTCGGTGTGGCATCCTTATCCTTTCTGCTCACTGAGGACACTCAATGAGTGTTTCAATGCACAACAAGTAGGTCAAACTTCCTTTGCTGCCTGGTCTTAGAGTTTTCATGCTGTGCACGACGAGCCCTCTCAGAGAATTCAAGCATCTTTTAAAGAGTACTCTCATCTAGAAGCATAGTAAGCACACCCAGAGATGTAACCGCATTAAGCCAGTATTAACATCACTTTATGAACTAACAGAAGGACTTTAAAGGCGTGTTGAACTGGGAACCAGTAGAGCATCTCAGTGATCTGGGCCCCTGGTTGCTCACTGACTATAACCTGATTAGACTTCTTAGGTCAGCAGTTTGTGTGTGTGTGTTAACTTACACTGACATTCAGTTAGTTGTAGTTCCCTTTCTTATTTTTTAGCTTCAGCTCTGAAATAAAGCACACAGCACAGGACACAGTGTGTTTGGCTACACAGGGCCACTGGAACATGCGGGGATTACAGATATTTATTGTTTCAGGCCACGCTGAGCTGCTGTCAGCAGTTTATGTGAGCTGTGTGGGGCCCGAGCAGAGCAGGCTGTGTCTGTGTACAACTGCAGATATATTAACCTCCTGTAATCATACAAAAAGCCTTCTATACACAACACTCCATTGTGACAAAATGCTTCAAATTGTTACAAAGTTATGAACATAAAAAAGTAAAACTATGACATGTATATAGTACATATGTAGTATAGTATGACACGGACGGGCAGGAGAAAGAAAAGGCATGTCTCTGTTTATGTCCAGAGCCCAGACTTGAAGCTAACTGAACATCCCTGAGAGACCTGACAATAACTGTGCACTGATGCTCTTCACCCACCCTGACGGAGGCTGAGAGGTTCTGCAAAGATAAATGGGAGAGACTGCTCAAAGATATGCGTGCCAAGCTCGTAGCATCATCCTCGAAAAGACTTAAAGCTGCAACTGCAGTCAAAGGTGTGAAGCCTCAGCTACACGTCATTTTTAAATATGATTTTTAATAAATGTGCAAGAATTTCAACAAACCTTCTTCACTTTGTGACTATGGGACTGTATCGAATATTCAAGTAAAAAGTTACATTACAAGTAATGTAATTCCATTATGGAATAACT